TGTTCAAAACAAGGATGAACTTCATTCACTTAGGGTGAGAATGTCTTTGACCTTGAGCTGACCTCATTAGCACTCCTCTCTCATCCCTAAGATATAAGTAGTGCATTTCCCATAAAACCGCTTCATTGATAAAAGGAAACTCATTAGGAGGACTGAATAGAGCAGATCATGAGCTCATATGACTTTTGCTTTTTAAAGGAAAAAAAAAACCTTTTAATTTAAAACTTTTTTCAAGACAGGATTTCTCTGTATAACCCTGGCTGTCCTGGAACTCACTCTGTAGACCAGGCTGGCCTCAAACTCAACCTGCATCTGCCTCAGGAGTGCTGGGATCAAAGGCCTGTGCCACCACTGCCTGGCTTTTAACTTCATTTTGTCTTTGAACCCTGTAAGTCATCTCCTTTGAGCAGTGTGAGTGAGCCACAAAGCCTGATGTGAGGCTGTTCTTCTTGCCAGCCGTATCTGGCTGTCTCCTGCCTCCCCGACCCTTCGTTTGCCTCCAGCTCCTCAGTAGCTGCATGCCATGGGGAAGGGACAGATCAGAAGAGAGCAATTCTTCGGCAAGGCTATGGAAGAGTCTGTATCCCTGCTAGAAACCAGAGTGGAACCTTCCTAAGCAGACACATGCTTTCGTGTTCTCCCTCCTCTTCCTCCCTGACTCTTCATGGTTAAAGCATACACGCATATCATCTCTTAAAGTTGGGGTACCATTTATTTCCGCTTTTTGAACTTGTTACCTTTGATTCATCCTTGCTCATCTAAAATTCTTTTCTGAGATGGAATCAGAGAGCTGATTTTACCTGAATACAGGTCCTCGGGCTCCCAGTGTCTGTGTTGATCGGTGTCTCTCCACTACCAGACAGTTACTGGAAGATCTTTAGATCCAAAAGCCCAAATATTAATTAGCATGTTAGGAGATCTTCATAGACCATGTGTGTAAAAATTAGTTCACTATCAAAGTCATCCCCAGTTTTCTGTTGATAGTGACCTACCTCTGACACTGGCTGGCAGTAGCCCAAGGTTGATGATGTGGTTGGAGATAGGCATTTTGGAGGCAGAACACACCCTCCTGCAAGGCTTGTGAGCTGGCTGAATGGTCTCAGTCTCCCGGTCTCCCGAGGACAGTGGTGTTGCCTCCAGGGGTTAGGGATGAGGGATCATGGAACTTTCTGATATTTCTAAGTTAGCAGGATGATGCTCTTGCAACTTCTACCTGTTAGTGAATAGAGTACCTAGGAGCAGGATGGGTAACCCTGCCTGACAAGACAACGTGTAGCAGATTATTTACAAGGTCCCTAGTCACCTTTCCGTCCTGCCTTATGCTGTCCTCAGTCACTCTGGTTTGCTTTTGCTTTTTTATTTAGCAAATAATCCTGAGTATGTTGCTTTGAGCCAGATATTCTCTTAAGTACATCTGCAACATTAGCTCATTGAACTCTCACACCGAGCCTATGGGAATCAGCACTGCTGTTATTCCCTTTTTACAGATGGGAGCGCCATGCAGGATGTGATCTTCTTTGCATTACTTGTTCATTCTGCTTTCTCTTCCTGCTATCCCATGTCTGACCTAGGTGTCACAGTGTTTTAAAAGAGCATCTTTCTATTGTTCTGAGACAGGGTTAATCTGTGTAGCCCTGGCTGTCTCAAAACTCACTCTACAGACCAGCTGGCCTTGAACTCATGGAGATCCGCCTGCCTCTGTTTCCCAAGTGCTGGGATTAAAGACATGAGCCACCTTACCTGGCCTTTAAGCATCTTTTTTTATATGTAGCCCTTAGTGCATTGTACGGTGACTTGTGTGCCAGTCTCTCCCACAGGGAAGCTGGAGTGTGCTACTTAGTTTTGTTATCTGTAAAATGGGTCTTACCATGCAGGGCAACTGTGAGGCTTGAAGACTCCTGGCGAGCCTTTCTTAGTTTGTGATTTTTGTTTGTTGGTTTGTCGTTGTTCTTGACACCATTATTGACACAGGGCAGATGTGGATTGAGAAACCAAGGGGAAAAGAGGGAAGGAAAACCAGGATGGCCCAAAGACAGAGCCAACCAAAGAAGAAGAGAATGTTGACGCTCCCATGGTCAGAGAATAGAGGAAGACTAGCAAGTCCGCTAAGCTTTGGTCATCACTGACATTTCTTGTGGTTGCCCCTAGGCAACTGTAGGGGTTGCAGGTTGCAAGTGGTCAGGGGAGTGGGTGGGAAGGAAGCGTAGGTTGAGCATTCAGTAGTTCTGCAAGAAGGAAGGGGAAGAATGAAGTGATAGGCTGGCCAAGGCAGGTGCTGTTTTAGCTGTCCAGAGGCAGAAGCAAGTGCCTGGAGGAGAACAGCCCGGCAGCTTGTTCTCCGGGTAGCCCTGGCTGTCCTGAAACTAGCTGTGTAGAGTAGGCTGACTTTGAACTTGAACCCTTAGGGAACTCCCTGCTCAACATCCCCACTGTCCACTCTGGGACTTGACTCCACGAACCTTCCACCCCTTGCAGCTGGGGCATCCTGGGGCCAGAGGGCTTTGGCAGCTGTAGAGGTCCAAAGGGACTGTGTTCAGCTTGAGTGAGCTATGGCCCCATCACCCGTCGGGTGAGGAGACTAGACCTACCTACCCCATGGGATGCCATGAGACAGGGCTGAAGTGCATCTGTGAAATGCCAGCTTCAGTCTTTCGGCAGCCGTGAAACAGGGTTAGGAGAGATAGTGGGCACTGAGATGCAGGACGGAGGGGCTGAGGGCCTGCCCTGAGTGGCTGTGCACCTCTCATGAAAGCTTGTCCCCACAGGGAAAGGCAAGGCAGGGGGAAGGCCCTCCTGGTAGGGCTGGTGGCCTCTGGAATAGATGCACAGGACCCGAGAGCGGCACTGAGGGCCCAGCTAGGTGTGGAGAGGGCAGGCGAGCTGCAGCCCAATTTCAAGGAAACAGGGATCGAACCGAAGACTGGTTAGAGTGTCTGGAGGTGAGGGAGAGAGGGAAGGATGGGGGAGGGAGAGAGAGGAAAAAAGAGCTAAGAAGGGAAGTTGGGGTAAATAGTGAACCACTGACAGAAAATATGTTCTAGTGTGACGACGGAAGTCACAAAATAGTTCCACACCAGTTCAGAATTATGAATAATAAAAGGGCTAAGCAGGGGGCTGGAGAGATGGCTCAGTGGTTAAGAGTACTGACTGCTCTTCCAGGGGACCTGGGTTCAATTCCCAGTACCCACATGGCAGCTCACAACTGTCTGAAGATCCAGTTGCAGGGGATCTGACACCTTCACACCAATGCACATAAAATAAAATTAAATAAACCATAAAAAATATTTTTTAAAAAAAGGGTTAGGCAGCTGTGGACCCTCTCCCCCCCACACACACTATGTAGCCCTAGCTGTCCTGGAACTCACCCTGTAGACCAGGCTGGCCTTGAACTTCCCAAGTGCTGGGATTAAAGGCCAGGGCCACTGTGTCCGGATTGTGAAGTCTTATCATTGAGTATGTTGTGTAGGTTCTTGGGCACAGTGTAGAGAGGACAGAACACAGCTGTGGCCAGAGGAGAGACTGCAGAGTGTCGGATGAAATATTTTTCTCTCTGACTTTTTAGTTTTCACTTATGTACTGTGGATTGAACCTCGGGCCTAGCACAGGCCGGGCAAGGGCTCTGCTGGGCTACCCTGGCCCTCTCCCTGCCTTTTCCTTTCGCGTTTTTGAAGATAGGTTACTCTTAGTTGCTCGGACTAGCCATTAACTTTCTGTATAGCCCCAGCAGGTCCTTGAACTTTTGATCCTCCTGCCTCAGCGATCTGAGTAGCTAGAATACAGGCCTGCGCCATTATGTCCATATTAAAGAAAATAATTTTCAGTGGCTGAATCCAGGGGTATCCAGTTGTGTTCTTTCTTTCTCTTTATCCAGAAAAAGTAACCTTAGTCTTCAGAAGACTTCTTGTGTACTGTGCTTCAGTTGTATGTTTGGGAGATGTTTTTTATCTGGATACTGTGTTTATTGTTAGTTTTTCATGCACCACATTCCTGGATCTTGACACATTTTTTTTTAAAATTCTTCCCTGGAATGAATTTCCAGGGATGAGGTTAATGTGCTCCAGGGAGTGGGTGGGTCCTGACAGACTACTGGCCGGCCTGCCGTGAGCAGGGAGACTGGGAAGTTGATAAGGAAGCCCAGCTTCCCACACTAGGGTCTAGGCTGAGTTTTTATGTGTGTGTGGTAGTTCACTTCCCATCGATGAGCCTGAACTCTGTGCTGCTCCCAAGGAGGGGGGCGGGCTCCATCCAGGATGAACACAGGAGGAAGTGCAGTTGGTTAGAATGTGTGTTAGTGACTCAGTAAACGGAGTTCTATGGTTTGGCTGTTAATTTTGCCTGTTCTTTTTTTTTTTTTTTTTTTTTTTTAAATGAGCACTATCGTCAAGAGGATGAACAAAAGCTATATCTAGTGGGGAAGGCAGCAATGAAAGGGAGTCTAGGTCTCTGCCTCAGAGGTTTTTGGTTTCGATTTTTTTTTAAGCAAGGACAGAACAAGTTCATCATTAGAAATGAAAGGCTCTAATGGTGTTTATTATGGCTGTCACAGTGTTAATATTTTGAATAATTTTTAACAGGTAAGGAAAATGTGATTTATATAATTGTTAAGGGAATTGTGTTGCGTGCAGGGGTGTGTGTGCGTGTGTGTGTGGGGGGGGTCTGACGATAGCCTCGTTTCTCAGTAACTGTCCACCTTTTTTTTTTCTTCCCATTGGCAGTCAGGGTAGGCTGTCTGCCCCCTGCACCTCGGGGATCTGCCTCCTTAGTGTTGGGTCTACCAGCATCTGCCTGTGGCTGGCTATTTCCACATAGTTTCTGGGGCATCGAGCTCAAGTCCTTGTGCTTGTAAGGCAAGCACTTTACCAGCCGGGCTGTCTTTGTGTAATCATGCCTGCTCTGAAGCTGTAAGTCTTCTGAATCAGTAATCTCATCATCAGATAGAATTATTAAATAGCTCTCTTATGTCCTGTGGTTGTGACACATCTCTTTTTCTCTTTTCACAGAAAAAATACAGGAAGGGATCCGTTGATGTTTCAAAAATCAAGTGTGTGGAAATAGTGAAGAACGACGATGGTGTCATTCCTTGTCCAAATAAATACCCATTCCAGGTGAGTTGGAATTCTTATAGCCGCTTGGTGTCCGCCTCTGTCCTGTTCCCATTTGACACTACAGGTTCCTGTCCTGGGTTTGGCGGCTGATTTTTGGTCTCCTTTGTCATCTTCGTAGTCGTTGCCTCTCTTCGTTAACCGCTTGAGTCTTTGTTTTTGTTTTGGCTGCTGCTGGCTGTCATCCGTCCTGAGTCACCAAACCCCAGCTCTTTCCTGTGGGTCATTTGAACTGCAGAGCATCGAGGAGTGAACTCTGCAGCTCAACAAAGTCCTGTGAACTTGAGCAGTTGGAAGGTAGCAAGAACGATTTACTTTCAAACAGAAAAGCGACGAAAGGGCTTCTTTTGAGGAAAAAGGTAGTAGCAGCAGTGTATGTTACTAAAACTACACGGCAATCCCGTGTACTACTCTGCTCACTTATGACCAAGGAAAGTGGCGCCCACTGATCATCAGTGGCTCCTTCAGGACCACATTTGTAAGTGAGAAAACATCCAAGGATGTGTGCTTTTTAGGAAGAAAAAAAAGGAGTTCGTGGAAAGAAGTGGACAGGAAATGAGTCTCAGATAAACTAGGAGAGGTACAGGCTACAGCTCTTATGTGGAAAAACAGGAGAACATGGTTGGGGCTTGATGGGAGAGCGAGGATGGGCGCTGTAGGCCTTGGTGATGGTGCCCTGAAGGGAGAGAGAAAGAGAGACTTTGCAGTTCTACATAACAAAGTGGATATCTGACTCTTAAAGGTTTTCATGGGGCAGGCATGGTGTGAATTGTGGTTTATAGGCGGAAGGAGACTGGTACCCTAGAATCTCCCCCAGACACCCAAACTGCCTGACATGTCAAAATTAGATGTTTATTATTCAGATTAAGGGCAGTATGTTTAGAATTCTTTGTACAAATACAAAATAAAGTTAATCTGTACAATACATATTAAGCCAGAAGGCATCTGTAAAGTGTTTAAAGCAAATTAGGGAGTCAATAAATTAATACATTAAACAAATTATTATTATAACAACAGTGTAGATTTTGAGGTGGTCAGGCCGAAGCTTTTCTTTGCAGATATGTCTGCTAATTCAGGATAACTTTCCTGGTGTGCTAAAATTCATTATTTAGTTCAGAGCGGGAAGCAGACACAGCTGGTGGAGGTGTGAAAACCATGGAGCGAATGAGAAAACATCTCTTCACGTCTCTGTTAGCACGTATCTTTGGTACGGCCTCTCACGTCCTGTCTTATAATACATCTCTACCTGCATCTTCGAAGTAGGCTCATGTTTAATGCATTTTGTGTCCTGGATAGTTGCACCAAAATGTAGGTGTTGAAATGAATTGGGAAGGGTTTACCTATTAAACTTGGCCAGGGACAGCTGTGACCAATAAGGTAGAGGTTTACTTTTTCAGCCCAATGGGTACTAGCCTGGTAAAGGGAGGTTTACGATAGGAGACATTATGTTTTAGTCAGGGTGCTTCTGCCTTGTGACTGACCGTTAAGGATAATGTCTGAGAGCAGTGGCAGGAGTCCTAGGTTAATTTCCAAGGCTCATTATTAATATAAAAATACAAAATAAGGACATCTGGAAATTTGCAGGCAAATGGATTGATCTAGAAAAAAAAACAAATTGAATAAGGTAACCCAGACCCAGAAAGACAAATTTAATATGTATTCACTCATAAGTGGCTTTTAGACATAAAACACACACACACACACACACACACAAATCCCACAATCCTTTGTAAAACACACACCCCACTTGATGTTGAAATTAAGAATTATACATGCTTTTGTAAGTAAGGAAACTAGATTTCTGAAGGAATGGGTTTGTTTTCAGCCATTCAGGAGTTATGTATTGATGCCTACAGTATCAAGGCTCTGCTAGACGGAAGTGCTGTGTAGATGGAAGTTTCTGTCCCGCCTGGGCTCGCAGCCGTTCAGTCCCAAGGAAACACACAGAGGCTTATATTAATTATAAACTATTTGGCCTGTTAGTTCAGGCTTGTTATTAACTAGCTTTTATAAGTTAAATCAACCCATAATCCTTAAATGTGTTTAGCCATGTGGCTTTTGGTACCTTTTCTTAGTAAGGCATTCTTATCTTGCTTCCTCTGTTTCCGCCTGGTGACTGTGTCTCCACCTTTCCTTTTCCCAGAATTCTCCTAGTCTGGTTGCCCTTTCTATACTTCCTGCCTGGCTACTGGCCAATCAGCATTTTATTAAACCAATACGAATAACAAATCTTTACAGTGTTCATTATCCTACAGCATTTCCCTTTTTTCTTTTCAAAACAAGACCCTGAATCTAATCTCCTTTGTTTAGCTTTTTTCCTGACCATTATCCATAACAACCTGTAACCAACACACTGAAGACAAACATCCATAACCCATTTTTTTGGGAATGTGGGTGTAGTTTTCTAGGCTACTTTCTGCTGATTGGGAGTGAAATTTAGGATTATGGTCAAGTCCTGACTGGAGTGTTCTGTGAGGCCGGATCATCTCAGCCAGCAGCCTTAAAGCTGTTCTGGATGCAGAACTCAGAAGAAACTGCAACAGTGCTGTGTCTAAGTATTGTCACTGGTCTCATCTTCTCTTTTATTCCAGGTTGTTCATGATGCTAACACACTTTATATTTTTCTTTTATTCTAGGTTGTTCATGATGCTAACACACTTTATATTTTTCTTTTATTCTAGGTTGTTCATGATGCTAACACACTTTATATTTTTCTTTTATTCCAGGTTGTTCATGATGCTAACACACTTTATATTTTTCTTTTATTCTAGGTTGTTCATGATGCTAACACACTTTATATTTTTCTTTTATTCCAGGTTGTTCATGATGCTAACACACTTTATATTTTTGCACCTAGTCCACAAAGCAGGGACCGATGGGTGAAGAAGTTAAAAGAAGGTAAAAACCCATGCATTCTATATAATTTGAGGAAATTACAAAAATCAGACATATTGTTAATCTAGCTCTTGTATTGTAATTAATGATAATGAGTGTCTCTCCAAGGACAGTCAGGCATGCTAAGTGGTAACACATTGAAGACAGTTTCCCTTTTTAAGATCATATTTCCTTCTAGTTGAATGCTTTTTCTCTAGTAAAAGCATACTTCCATTTGTCACACAGTGTGGTTGAAGGTGATAGAGCATGGGCTTTTATAATAATTGAGGTTTCATGGTGAAGACTTAAATGGACGGTTTGTTCCGCCCAATGCCCTTTTCTTTGATGGGACACAGTGGTAGTAGCTTTGGTCCACCGTGGAGTAGTAGTGATTGACTTCTCCTCACATGAGTGTTTCACCAGTAAAAAGGGACAGAGAGAGAAAGCCACCTCGCTTTTCTGAATGCTGAATATGTAAGATCACAATGGCATTCTCATAACATACGTGTTGGTCAAGGAAGAAGTAAGACGGACAGTTAGTTACTCAGAGGCCTTTAGTTTGTTACTTCACTAACCGTTCATGTGTCTGTGCATTACAGAAATAAAGAACAACAACAATATTATGATTAAATATCATCCTAAATTTTGGGCAGACGGAAGTTACCAGTGTTGCAGACAAACAGAAAAACTAGCACCCGGATGTGAAAAATACAATCTTTTTGAGAGCAGTAAGTATTTGTCTGGTTCTTTAGTTGTGGTGTACTCAGAATGAGCATCCTTCTGGTGTTGGGAGAAGTGATGGGGTGTGGATTCTGACCAAGTAGAGCACACTGCCTAGAAAAGTGCAAATGCAAGGTAAGTGCAGCATCTTAGAGTAAGGGTGTTTCTTAGCAGGGGGCCTTATGTAGGCGAGGTCTCTCTGGGGAGCTCTGATCACAACAGGGAGGCCTGTTAAAATGAATCTGTTGAAAGTATGGGCCACAGGTAGCAGTGCACGCCTGTAATCCCAGACTCAGATTCAGGGCAGGAGGTTAATCCCTTACCCAGGACCCTTATAAACCCTAGTCATGAGTGAAAACCAGACACCAAAAGCTATGAGTGCTGAGGAGGATAGGACCTCCCATGCTGTCACCCTGCATTGTGACTACCATGTGAATCAGCATCAGTGCAACTTCTGGGGGCAGGGAGAATGGCCATCTGTCAGGGCTGTTGCCGTGGGCAGGGTCAGTTCTGATTCTGAGTTCCTCCACTCTGAACCTTCCGGGGTAGTCATCCTGACTTTAACTTAGCCCTTAGCAAGCAAGACCCCAGCTTCCAGGCTGCTGTTAGAGCTTACCTGCGTAAAGCCCACCCTGACTTGCTGGAGAAATGGCTGAGAAGTTACAGTTAGTTAAAGCTAGTAATTTGTTTGTATCTCATGTAGTCAGACGGAGGCAAGAGATGGCAGGCGGGGCTCCGCAATGGCGCTGCAGGTGGCTGTAGAGGCTCGGATTCTAGCTCTGCCGCCACTCTTGCTCCTTTAGCAATCGAGTGGGGGAAGGATCCAGACTGCCCACAGAAAGTTTGGGGGGTTTTGTTTGTTTGTTTGTTTGTTTTTTAAATAGGGTCAGGGTCTAAAAATGGCCCACTCCTTTGATTAGGACATCATCCGTGTCCACCAGCTGGGTGACCATGTATCGCACCAAACTCAACATCTGTAGGGGGAAAGACTGACAGACTGATGTATTTCTCAGTGCTCACCTTATCCTCAGAGGATCTGTCCAAGACCCCCAGGATATAGGCCATTCTGCACCTTGTATATACTGTTTCCCGATACATATATACAGATGTACCACCATAAAATATAATTTATAATTTGACACAGTAAGAGATTGGCTGTAACACCTACCAATGAAATAAAATGACTCTAATAACATGTAAGAGTGAGTATGCACAGTTTCTTATTGTGTTGCAGATTTTAACAACATCAGCGTATTCTTGTTGTTTTTTTTCTTTCCTTATTAAGTTGAGACCTATCAGCTTTTCAGATCAAGTGTCCACTTTTCAGCTTCTCTTTGGTGCATCCGAGTGACGGCATTGCTATTCTTGCAGTGGGGTCGCCACTCAGTTAAAAACGGTTGATGTGCTGTGATAACTACCAGAATTGATGTGAGAGCTGAGATCGTAAAGTGACTGGCTGGGATAGTGGGTGCAGTTTGGACATGCTGCACAAAGGGATGACTCCTCCTGGGAGGGTGTAAGGCAGACAACCAGAGATTTTTATCAGTTCCCGGAAGTGTATACAAATGACAGCTGGTGAATTGCTCCATTTGATATTTTCACACTGTGGTTCACGGGTACAGCTCAGATTGTGGGAAGTGAAGCCGTAGAGAAGGGAGCGCGCTACTGTTACCTAATGTATGTGTTTGTTCTGTCTTTCTGTGATGGTAAAGATGGAACCCAGGGCCTCCCACTGTTAAGCACTCACCAGACCCCGGCTCCAGTTTAGATTTTGATCCTAAGAACAAGGAAGAGCCAGGACGATGCAGTGTGTTATGATGAGATTATGATGTTAGTGTATGTTGGGAGTTGGGCGCAGTGGTCCCCGGCCCGGTGCTCATTCTCCACCACCAGTATCTTCTCCATCAATTGTTGTGGGATACTGTAGTGATCGACATTTATTGGTTTTCAGGTATAAGAAAAGCCCTGCCCCCAGCACCAGAAACAAAGAAGGTGAGTGGTCTCCGCCTTCATAGGTCAAGTCTCTAAGTTCCCTGCTCTTTCAAGCCTGTGGGCTTTAGGAGGGTTTGTGGTTGGTTGATTGTGCAGCCGTGCAATCCTGCTTCCTCCTGCTCCCGCCTTAGAAGCAGATGTGTTAGAGCTCATCTGAGTAGTTCTTGATGTCAGACTATCCGTTTACTTCTTTAGCTTTTCTAGTTGAGGCCCTGTTACCGTCTGATATTTAGCTTCAGGAGTCATTTGAGAGGTGTGACCTTTTAAAGGACTGTTTCTGTCTTAAGAACATGGCACAGTGATGCAGTGGATTTAGTGATTTAGTGATATACCCGTGGAGTGGACTACTGTGGAATAACATGTAATTCAGACCCCTTCAGCATCTTAGCCAGTAAGACCTGTGGGTAGGTTACTGAGCTTTGGGTGGGTTAGTTCAGCGGTAGTTTAGGACTTACTATATAGTAAATACTATACTTCGTGGTAGCGTTGTTAAGAATAAATGAGGAAGCATGTTAGGTCCTAAGCGTGTGCTTTCTGCACTGAAGGCATAAAGCAGTGGACATGGCTCTGAGTGGGAGACCATTGAAGGCTCCATGATGCACTGTTCTCCAACACCCGTAGTCCTTTAGTCTACCGAGTACCTACTCACGGGCTGTCATTGCCTCCTCCTCTGGAAAACTGTCCCTGACCTGACAACACACAAGCAATTCTCAAACAAAACCCTTGTAACACTCAAGGCAGGCCTTGCCCCTCCCTTGACTCTCAAACTCTTAAAAAAACATCCAGCACCACGAACATTGTCATGGGAGGGCTCCCAGGTTTCACTAGGTGGTTAGACTAGATGTGAAGCTTTACTCTACGGTGACGTGGGAGTCCCTTAGGATTTTACTGCTGTGCCTCGTGGCCAATGTCAAATAGAAACTGAACTTGCCAATGTTATCTTCTCTGCACAGAGAAGGCCTCCTCCACCAATTCCCCCAGAAGAAGAAAATGCCGAAGAAATTGTTGTAGCGATGTATGATTTCCAAGCAACCGAAGCACATGACCTCAGGCTAGAGAGAGGCCAAGAGTATATCATACTGGAAAAGAATGACCCCCATTGGTGGAGAGCAAGAGATAAGTATGGGTGAGTGTTTCCGTTGTGCGTGACTCTCGGTGGATGTGAGTGGCGGTCTGAGTGATGCGTGTGTGCACTGTCACGGACTAAGGCGGACTAGCCCAGTCGGCCACAAATTCAAGTAAACTGGGAATGAAGCACCGTGTGACATATTTTAAAGTGTTTGAATTTATTTTTGTTATTGGTGGCGTACATGTGCGTGAGCGCGTGCGTGTGTGCCCGTGTGTGTGCACTCCTGTCTGCCGAGATGGGGTCGGAGAGTAACTGTGGAGCCAGTTCTCTCCGTCAACCTTTACATGGGTTTTGGGGATCAAGGTCAGGTTGTTTGTGTGGCTTTTGCCTTTCCCCACAGAACCATCTCCCCAACCCTGAAGTGTATCCTCACTGACCATTCAAGAAGTGTGAATTAATCAGTTACTTCCTTCCAGGGGTTAGAATACATTATACTTAGTTCTCATATGCTGATCATTTAACTTTGGCAGAAATGACTTTTTATATTTTGTCTGCAGTAAAAATCCATTCCATCTTCTGTTTTTCCCTCCTTCTCTTCCTTTCCTCCCTTCCTTTCCTTTTCTCCCTTCTTTTCTTCCTTCTTCCTCTCTTCTCCTTCCAAGATCTCTCTCTCTCTCTCTCTCTCTCTCTCTCTCTCTCTCTCTCTCTCTCTCTCTCTCTTTCTCTGTTTACTCACAGTATAATGGAGCAACTTCTTATTTGAATTTTTCATTCTCTTTGTAAATGTGTACATAAGTGTATAAAACACACACACACACACACACACACACACACACACATATATATATATAGCAAGCATTATTTGTACAGATAATTTAGGGCTTAAGGGAAGCGACCTTGGTGTGTGCCTCCACACCTGACTTGGATATGTCTCCTGGGTCTTCTTTGTTTTGTTTTACAACAGTCCTTTCCTCTTCATTTTTGATCTGACGAGATCACCTTATTTTCCTTATAAAGTGAACCATCATCTATATTAAGTATACTCTTCCCATCTTGGAATGTCTGGCATACCTCCGTGTCATCTTATTTTTTGTAATCTAGTGGTTGGAGCTAGACACTTGATCACGGGAAAGAGGATCTCCAGCTGCCATGTTGTAAATGGTGCCAAGGATACTCGGGGTTCAGGAGCTGTCCTTACTGACACATCATAAAGTTCCCATGTTGTGTCCCATCTTGACATTAGCATCCGCGAGTGGTTGCTACTTAGACCCATTCTTGCCTTAGCAATTACAAAGCGGTGCCTTTTCTAACTTTGCCATCACACACAGCTGTTAATTCTCTAAGGAACCGCCTCCTAATTGAGTGCATGTAGTTCTTCCATGAAAGGCTGCTACAACTAATCCTAAACGCTCGCCATTTTTCAGAATGAGTTGCTGACTGAACTTCCTGTGATGGTTACAGTGGTAACCGGTGGTTTTCCTTAGTGTTGTGAATGCTTTTGTGTTAGGTTTCAATCCAAAGGAGACATCATTCTGTTTGCTTGAGTTGAGGACCCGAGTGATGCTTCTTTGCTTTCTGGTTCAGTAAGATAATCCAAGTTCACCTTGTATTTTTCCTCATCAGACTTGCATCTTGACATTTTGTCTAAGGAATTCTGCCTCTTTTCTGTCAGAAACAGTGTTTTACAGATAACAGGTGGAATTCTGGGATTCTATTTGTTGGTGTATTGTCATTGCTGAGGAAAGCACACAGGTGTGGGCATGCATGCATGTGTATGATGTGTGTATGTGAGTAGTGTTTTACAGATAACAGGTGGATTTCTGGGATTCTATTTGTTGGTGTATTGTCATTGCTGAGGAAAGCACACGGGTGTGGGCATGCATGCATGCGTGTGTATGATGTGTGTATGTGAGTAGGTGGGCGAGAATGGTTGCACACATGTGTATGATGAGCTTTTACTAAAGGTTTGGTACCAAATAAAAGATTATAAAGTATCTAGTTTGTTTTTTTTAAAGAAAATTCTACATGGGCATTGTGGCTCCTACCAACATAGAGATGTTTCTTAAACCATAGTGTAGTGTGCATAGGAGTCACCGGGGAGAAAAAGTTGTGGTTCCTTTGTACCACAACTTTGTATCTCAACTCAGGATCGCTGAAGAATTTTCCTTTTAACAAGTTCCTCATGGTGCCAATGCAGAGGGCGTGGACCACCCCTTGTGATGGTGTACTGCAGAGCTTGCTGAGGTAGTAGAGCAGCGGGTGACTCATCCAACACAGGCTTTTGTGATGCAGGAGTTTCTTTAAGACATCCCCAGAAATGATAAAGTCTTGATCAGCATCATCGAATATTCGAAAGACCTAGAGTTCAAATTCACACCTGATGCTGACTGAGTTTGCAGGCCATGAGAGAGCATCTTAATCTAGGTTTTGGTTTCCCCCCACGAGAAAATGGGTATAACGATGTCTGTACAGCTATAATCTTTGTGATAATCAAATATGGACTTACATTATAAGGAATCGTACAATATAGATATATTGACTTGTTGGGATAGCTGGGTTTTTATATAAATTTAGGTAATGTACTTTAGAAAATCAGTTACCTTTCCTTATACAAAAATTAAAGTAATTTCTGTTTTCTCATCTTAATTCTAGGAGTGAAGGATATATCCCAAGTAATTATGTCACAGGAAAGAAATCAAACAACTTAGATCAATATGAGTAAGTAGTCATTTGCTTTGTAAGTGCGCATGGCCAGAAACTATTGTTTTTCTAATTATGTAAGACGTTTTGATGATTACAGAATAGCATTAATGTCTTTAGAAGGTGCCAGCATAGCCTTAATTCTGCTGTCTGACTTAGTGAAAACTCGAGACTCATCGCAACATGGCCTTTTCCTTGAATATATTGTGTGTGAATGCCATTATATAAGCAAACACAGCTGAACTGGATTTGAACAATCACAGCTCAGCTGAATTTGAAATAAATATCATTGTCCATTCATTCAAGGTAACGGAACAACATTTCCCAGAGGAGCCTTTAAAAATGTTTCATTGTTTCTTTTTTTCAGATGAAAACAACAGTCTATTATGATTATAGCTTTTTAAAACTTTGAAAATAGGAAATAATATTATTAAGAAAATATTATGAACAAGAGTTGACCTCTGTCAACATTAGTGATATTTTTCTTTTCTTTTTCCACCAACCAATGAGTGCATTATGTGTTCATTTTTCTTCCTGCCATTAAATGGTCTTTGAAAATATTTTCATAGCTGCAGTATAGCTCATTCAATCATAAATGTATAAAACATTTGCTGAGTTCTTAGCATTGTCCTAGTGTTGGGTGAGGCCCAAAGGCTACAACCAGTATATGGGGTCATAATAATTAACATGATTGTTTTATTATTTGGGAATTATTGGGTTATTTCAGGTATCCATGCAATAGTAAAGTAACTGTGGTAGCCTCTCCTTGCTGTCTTCAATCATCTCTCAAAAGTATGCATGTGTGAACTTTGTTGAGTCTCCCGATGCATGCTGTCTGACCCCTTTACAGAAAAGCTGTACTTTCTGTGCCCACGGGCAGTGTGTGGCCGGATTTTAATGCATGACCCATGGGTGTCAATCCCTTTGTGGTCCTCCTGAGGTAGGATGTGAATAGACATTCACTTCCTTAAAGCAACAAGCTGTTGCTCTACCATCTCACTGTGACTGCATGAGCATACCTCAAAATCTGAAAGAAGACCAACAGAGTCTAAAGGTCCCAGCATCGGTGGCATCATCCCTTAAAGTGACAGTAGAAGTGGAAATATAGATGGTGTACAATTATGTACCATATAGCACTTTTACCAAAACATACTGTGTGCCTGACAATCTCCCCCTGGGACCGTGATTGAGCTGGAGCACTCCTATTGTCTAATATTTTTCTGTGCATGTGGATACATAAATGCTTACCATTGTGCTGTGGTGTCCATACCGTTTGTGCAGTGACATGCGGTACAGGTTTATAGCATAGTGCTCTAGAACGGTTGCCTGCTTCTTGTGGTCTGGGGGTTGGGCTGGGATGTAGATTATATTTGCTACCAGGGTCAGAGTGGGTTAGGTCTCTTAAGTGTGCTCTGTGAGGGTTCCTCAGAGACAGTTGCCTGACTGTGTATTCCTCTGAGAGCTCCTTATTGTGATAGATAATTGTGTAAAGTACAATGGTTTGGCTCTTAAATATATCTTAGGAAAATATAATAAAATCCTTAGAAACAGGGAAGATGGCCAAAGGCTCAAACTTACACTGATTAGAAATGATGGGACCAAGAATGAACTGATAATTCCGTTCATGGAAACCAGATAATCCTGGTGTAACTATGAAGCTTCCTCGTGACTCACGGGATTTCACAGAAGGGTTTTCAGCCCCGTGGTTTTGTAACTAGGACGCGAGTGTTTTGGTTGTTTTGTCACTTGGAAATTTAATCTCTCTGAAGAATCTTTCTCCTCTCCATGACTTCGGTGTGGGAGCCCCCTCAGCATTCTGTGCCAGGGACAAGGTGGTGAGGCTAAAGATTGTCCTCAAAGTAGGCAGGCAGGGTCTTCTTCTGCTTCTCTCCTCCCTATGTTCTGTTCAGGTTTTTTTTGGGGGGGGGGTGTAAAGTTGGGGGGTGTTAGCACAGCTCATTACTAACGTATCTTCCATGGCCTCATAGACATTGAATCAACTGTTTTTCTGGTTTTTGGGGCTAACCAGGAATTCCAGGCCACTGCTGTCCCTGGTCAGACCCAAGGACTACCAGCACTGTCAGTAACCTAGTTTGACCTTAGACTCTGCCAACAGTTTGGATTTTAAAGGCTCAGAACCGTCTAAAGGTTCCCATAAGGAAAAAAGGGGAGAATCTCATTAGGATGTTCAGAGGGAGGTGTTCTTGATGAACAATATTAAAAGAATAAGGTAGCCAAAATGAAATGGCAGGAACAGAATTTGTAGGAACGGCTCTGAATGGGTGGAGGAGGCAGGAACGGAATAGAGAGAAGCCAAAGACGTACACATGGTTGCTTGCTTGTGTTTTCCCTTCATGCCTTTTTTACTTACATTACTCTTACTCATCCTCCCCAAGAAACTTGGTCGTAGTTTGACAGAACTACATCGGTTGCAGAAGACAGGGTGTTCTCAAACCCCGCCTCTTCCCTCTCCTTCAGACACTGCCGATAAGGTTCCATTCCTCTGGAAGGTTGTGGGGTAGCTAGCCAATGTGAAAATCTAACTCATTCTGGAGTATTTGATGCCTGAGAAAAGGATGACAAATTGCCCATAAATCTTGGGCGTTGTTTCTAAATGTAGCTTTCCTTCAGCAAAAGGTATTAAACTCTAACGAGGCATCGCCACACCTTATGGGGAGGTTTGTGCCCTGGCATCTCTGTCTCCTTATGCCCTGCAGGCTCCTTCACATTCTTCACATGTGTGCTCCTCTTGACAGAATGAATTCGTCAGTGGTTCTTTTCCCTCTGCCTGGGGACAGGGAAATGAGACAGATGGAGAAAGACTCAGAAGAGCTGCTACAAAATAGCTATCAACAGTTAATTCATCTATTTGTTTACTACTCACTAGGCCCTGCAGGGTCTGGGTTTGTATCTTATCTTATTTTGCATCATATCACTGTAAGAAAATAGCTCCTAACAAGAACATGTTTATTTGGCTCGCAATTTTGGAGTTTCTGCTCCATGATATATTGATGCAATTGTCTTAGCACTGTTGTGAGAAAAGAAGTCACGATGGGAGCATACCCTAGAACAAACCTGCTTTCATCATAACCGGAAAGCTGAGAGGAAGGCTCAGGGATGCTCTGCTCCCCTTCAGAGGTGTGTTCTGGTGACACACCTTCCTGTAAGGCCCTAATGACGAAAGGTTTCACAGCCGCCCAGGAGTGCCACTCTGGTCTCCAAGCTGCTAACACACAGGCCTCGGCCCACACTGTGGGAAGAAGCTGTGGCATGTCCCCAGGGTGGAAAGATCTCTGCTGGAAACTGCAGACGCTGAGAGAACAACTCATTAGAACCGGTTTCAAGGAGCTGCTTCTTTCTTTCTTTTTTTTTTGGTTTTTCGAGACAGGGTTTCTCTGTAGCTTTGGTGCCCGTCCCAGAACTAGCTCTTGTAGACCAGGCTGGCCTCGAACTCCCAGAGATCCGCCTGCCTCTGCCTCCCAAGTGCTGGGATTAAAGGCGTGCACCACCACTGCCCGGCCTTCAAGGAGCTGCTTCTTGTAGTAGAGTCCTTAACTCTCTGGTTTCCTGCATCCTTTCCCAGGGTCTGGAATTCATACTGTGAGGAACGGGCCTCTTTGGTTTTCAGGGTATCTTATTATCATTTTAAAGCCACAGGGCAGCTCTCCCTGTTTTCTGCACCTGAACCCTCCTTCTCTTGCCCTCACTTGGAAGATGTGAAATTGGATCTTCTGTTTTGTTGACAAATCAAAATTTTAAACCTCGAGCAATGTGCTAGTTCATAGTTTCTTGAGTAACTTTTATGAGAGTTTTGGGTTCTGATAAATATTTCTTATACTAATAGAAAAGCTTTAGAGACAGAAAGAATCTCTTCTAATTTATCACTGTATTTCAATTGCATTCAGAAATGGATGGATTGGGGGCTGGAGAGATGGCTCAGAGGTTAAGATCACTGACTGCTCTTCCAGAGGTCCTGAGTTCAATTTCCAGCAGCCACATGATGGCTCACAACCATCTGTAATGAGATCTGGTGTCCTCTTCTGGCATGCAAGCATACATGGAAGGAATGTTGTATACATAATAAATAAATAAATCTTAAAAAAAAAAGAAATGGATGGATCATGATGGAATGGATTGATCACAATGGCAGTTTGGTTGAACATGCCTCATTTCATGAAGTGTGATGGACACACTGTTCATCCCCAGGCCTGGTTCATCATTGCAGGCTCTGACATCAATGCAGTGTATGGCAACTTCACTGGGCATACAGCTGCTTTCTAAAACATTCAGATGATGATAAACATCTTCTTGTCTTGTTTTACTTATTGTGATTTTGCTTTTCTCAATTAGAATGAGCCTTTGTATTTTCTTGTCCAGCGTGTCAGGGACCAGAGGCCTGTTGAGTGACAGACTTTTCCTGGGGAGAAGCAACACACATACACACGCACGCACATCTCAGTTAACAACAGACCAAAGTCCAGCTTGGTGAATCAGTGAGTTTTACTGCTGTTACTTGCAGGAGTATGGGTGAGGGGTTGCTTACAGGAACAGGAATGACTCAAAGACAGCTGCATCACCAAGGCCCACCCCAGCACTGGTGGCAGCTCACAAGAGCTGGGAACCTGGAGCACACTGTACAGTGTGCAGACCTCTCAGCAGGTTGAAAAGTGTCCGTTCCAGGTGCCTCTGTTGATCTCTTCCAGTCAGCCTGGTTGTTTTCAGCTTTTTCCAGGCAATTGGGCAACTTACCTGACAGTCTTCTTTGCAGCTTGTTTTGTCTGAGGAGGACTCTCAGCAATCTTTACTGTTTATTCTTGGGGAGGCCGGGGCTAGTGAAACTGCTCCATTTCAGGAACTTCCTGAAGCTATTTATACTTGTTTACCTTCTGTGTAAAGGAGCTTCCTGCAGGATGGAACGTTTTAATCTCAGAAAAAAGTGCTACACACTAGGGCCTTATATGAATAGGCTGAGACTACAGTGGGGAATTCAGATGCCCAAAGAGGCCCTGGGGACTTTTAAGTTGTAGGTATTTGACAGTCCAACAAAACAAATTTAAAATTGAAGTCCAGAGAAGACTCTTATTCAAACTCTTTGGGGCCCATTTGCTTATAGTCAATGGAGGGATGATCCTGGGGAACTCAAAGGCAAGACTGTCTCTGGGGTGAAGAAGGAACCAGCAATACACAGAGGGAGTCTTCCCAAAGGCCCAGAAGGGGCAGATCTGCAGGGCCTCTGGGTATGGACCAGGTGGGGAGGTAGGGTGGGTGCTCAGACAAAGCACAGAACCAAAGTGACTAGGTGACCACAAGGGTCTAGGTGTGCTGAACATCAGAAAGTCTGGAACACCTCGGTGGCTGTTCTGTAGTGTTGGTCCTTCGTGACACTTGAGATCTCTATGAAATTCAGTGAACAGATACCACAGTGACCTGATGATCTGCCAAGCTGATGAGATGGGGGCTGGAATATGATTTAGTTTGAATTAAAGACAGTAATGTAAAGTGGCATTTTCTGCATGTATTAATCATTGGAGTAAAATTCCTTCCTGCTATGCATCTAGTCATTGGGAATGATTTGTTATGTTGAATGACAAGAGCTGATGAAATCTGGTACCTCCATGCCTCTATGCATAGTGTTGATTTTCAAAGCTGTCCTGTGACAAATCCAGGTTATGCCAAACAAGTAGCCTTTGATTCCATTTAACCCATGTGGGATGTCTTCCTGAGAATGTGGGTAGGAAAAGTCTGGAGACATATGCATGAAAACATGTTATTGCTGTTGAGAATGTGAATGCTGTCTTACCGTGGTTGTGTTTATTACATTTGTTATTGATAAGCTGTATTAGCTTGTTAATAAGACCAAGAATAAAATATAATTTTTGAAATCTGATGAAGATCTCTTTCTGATCAGGTGGTATTGCAGAAATACCAACAGAAGCAAAGCCGAGCAGCTCCTCAGGACGGAAGTAAGTGCTTCCTTCATTTTTCACGTTGTACTTCAGCATCGATTGATTTTACTGAATCCTTCGTGAGTGGCTCCATATACTTATTCCTAAAGCCTGAAGGGGCTGTGATCTAAATGCAAGCTGTATTTTTTGCATCCCTTAAAAGAGGGGATTGGAGCGTTAGTGTGCTGTAACGAAGAGCCACAAACTGAGTGGCTCAAACATCAGAAGTTCATCACTTCATAGTTTTGGAGACTTGTAATCCAAAGTCATAGTCAGTAGGATAGCTTGCTTCCGGGAGCTGTGGGGGAGGGCCTAGGTCCCTCTCCTTGCCTTGGAGATGGCTCTTCTCCCCCATATTTTTGTCTTCCTCCATGCACGTACTTCTGTCTTTGTCTGCATCTTCTCTTTAGGTAATGGTACCAGTCATACTGACCTAGGGCCGCCTTGATGACTTCACTTTAATCTAATGTCCTGTGTGAACCCTTATGCCAGAGTGCGCTCACATTCTGAAGCTTAGGACTCGGCTCTCTGGAGTGCATCAGGGTGCAGCGGGGTACCCTGAGATCTGCACTGTGAAAGAGCACAGTTCCTTGCTGATTTATCATTTGCTGCTTTTATTTTATACTTCAGTGTATTTTCTTTTGCTTGAAATCATTTGTTTTAGAATAGCTTTCATTAATATTTTGTGACGTATTTTGTAAATTAATAACCTGTAACCACCTATTGTAATAGTCACAATGATTTCTCCCACCTTACAGTGAAATTAGAGGAGAAGACAATGCATGCAAAGAGGAAGTTACACTGAGCTGAGAGAGTGCTGACTCTGGGATGGTTTTAGTCGTTGTTTTCAGTCTGTAAAGTAGGAAAGAAGCCAAGGTTCACAGCTCCCACATTTGCGGTCTAGTTGTTTTACTTAGTGATAGCTCAAGGCCTCTTCTGGGTGCCAACACCAAGGCTTGGCTGAGTACTGAGTATAGTTTATGTGACAGGGCTCATCCTCACTCCCCAGGATCCTGACTGGCTTCCCAGAGACCACACACCCTGAGATAGCTAGAGGGGGTGCCGAGTACCTTGGCAGCCTGGCCTTCAAATTCCTGTTTGCTACTGATTACCAGGTGACCTAGGGAAAGTTGTCTCATCTTTTTGTGTCCCCTTTCCTTATCTTAAGATAAAAGAAGAAAAACAAGACTGTTATTCAGATGACTGTCTGAGTATTAAATACATTTGTATATGAGGACACATTTAAAAAGAATCGGTTTTGGGGCTGGAGAGATGGCTCAGAGGTTAAGAGCACTGGCTCCTCTTTCAGAGGATCCGGGTTCAATTCCCAGCACCCACAAGGCAGCTCACAACTGTCTGTAACTCCAGTCCCAGGGAATCTGACACCTTTACACCAACTCACATGAAATAAAGTTAAATAAAATTATTTTTTTTTTAAAAAAAGAATCGGGTTTCAAAATGGTGGCTCTTGTTAATTTTTTTAACCAATGAAGTGATCATGATTGCTGTTTTTAATTGTTATCAGATAGGCTTGTGGGGCCTTACTTAATTCCACTGTCTTTCTTATGAATAAGAACAAAAGTTACTTTTCAACTATGAAACTCATTGTTCATCTTAAAACAATGTAAAAACTAAAGATAAGATATGATGCCATTGGCAGGGAAGTCTTTAAAATGTGTATCTTCCATTTCTTGCCCTTCAACTGGGAATCAGATGAGAATTTAACCATTACTCACTCAACATTGCTGGCATGTTTGAATCTCTGCTGAAGTTACTCGTCTTTTCTATATTGTGATACTTGACACTGAGCTGCCGGGGACTCCAGGGTTAACACATTCTTGTAAAGCATGAGGTATTTGCAGGAGAAAGGCTATGTGGCTAGGAACTGATACTGAGAGGAGCTGAAAACTCCTACCACACAGCAGAATGCTATGAACTGGGAATCCAGAAAGAGAGTCTCAATGATTGGTTTTCACAAGCCCAGGGCTTACAGCATAGTGGTACCGGCCTGGTGGCTCTGCCAAGGCCCTAAGGCATGCTAGCTTCAGGCCCACTTCAGTCTGCCTGAGAAACTGTAGTTGGGACAAAGTGAGTGTGCCCCTGTCATCTCCGAACCCCGGAGTGTGAGGCAGAAAGTCATGTGGGTGGACAGACTCAAGAGGCTCTATTGTTAGGTTGCTCTTGTTGACAGCACAGATTTGGTACACAGAGGATGATAATAAAACGATAAGATTGAGCTCTTGAATCTTTGCCACATCCTTACTAACTGGAATTTTAAAAAGGACTGTTTTAATTTGGATTTTAGGATAAAGAGGGTGGCTTTATGGTGAGAGACTCCAGTCAACCAGGCTTGTACACGGTGTCGCTGTACACAAAGTTTGGGGGGTAAGTTGTTATGCTCTAGTTTTAAGCGGTTGCTGTCTTATTCGTTTTATGTGTGGAGTATGTGGGTGTGTGGCATGTGCGTGTTATGAATGTGTGGGTGCACCGGTGTCTGTTGTACACGTGGAGACTAGAAATGGACTTGCAGGCATTTCCCTCACTGCTGTCTCTACCCATCTATTTTATTGTATTTTCTGACTAGCTCACCAACTGGCTAGATTAGCTGGCTAGCGAGCTCTTGGGATCAGTCAGTCTCTCCCCACCCCTCAATTCTGTGCCAACACTGCAGTTACAAGCATATGCCAGCACATCTAGCTTTTATAGGTGTGCTGGGGATCCGAACTCATGACCTTATACTTTCATAGCAGGCATTTTATCTGCTGAGCTATCTACTTAAGCCCCATATTTTTCTTTTAATTCAGAGTTTTTTATGAACTCCCTATGTTGCTTGAATGTGTTTCTAAGTTTCAAAGTAAGATGCTCCATGTCAGCATTAGGAGGAAAAAAAAATCTAATCTTCATTTCTAAAACCTGGCTATATTTTGTACTTATGTTTTTTTTTTCAGAAAATTTCCCTGTATTTTCTCATATCTATGTTTGTGTGTGCACACATACATGCTTGTTGAGAATAACTTTGGGAGATTTAGTAACATTCATTGGATAACTACTACGCTCTGAGCTATGCACAAAAGAATCTACATTGAGTAGAGTAGGCTTAAGTAGTTTATTGAGGGCCGCAGACAGGCCTATAGGCAGCCATGGTACCATGAAAATAAGGAAGGGAACAGTTAGAATGTTATATTGCCGAGACACATTTCAATTATTCTTTTTTTTTTATTGAGAAAAGGAAAAAAAAAAAAACGTTTCCCCCTCCTCCCAGCCTCCCATTTCCCTCCCCCTCCTCCCACCCTTCTCCCCCTCCCCCACTCCTCTCCCCCTCCCTCTCCTGTCCAAAGAGCAGTCAGGGTTCCCTGCCCTGTGGAAAGTCCAAGGTCCTCCCCCCTCCGTCCATGTCTAGGAAGGTGAACATCCAAACTGGCTAGGCTCCCACAAAGCCAGAACATGAAGTAGGATCAAAACCCCGTGCCATTGTCCTTGGCTTCTCATCAGCCCTCATTGGTCGCCATGTTCAGAGAGTCCGGTTTTATCCCATGCTTTTTCAGTCACAGTCCAGCTGGCCTTGGTGAGCTCCCAATAGATCAGCCCCACTGTCTCAGTGGGTGGGTGCACCCCTCGTGGTCCTGACTTCCTTGCTCATCTTCTCCCTCCTTCCGCTCCTCATTTGGGACCTTGGGAACTCAGTCCAGTGCTCCAGTGTGGGTCTCTGTCTCTATCTCCATCCATCACCAGATGAAGGTTCTATGGTGATATGCAAGATATTCGTCAGTATTGCTGTAGGATAGGGTCGTTTCAGGTTCCCTATCCTCATCTGCCCAAGGAACTAACTGGGGACATCGCCTTGGGCTCCTGGGAGCCACTCTAGGTTGAAGTCTCTTGCCAGCCCTAAGGTGGCTCCCTTAACTAAAAATTGTGCTTCCATGCTCCCCTATCCAGCCTTCCTTTATCCCACTCATCCTGCATTTCAATTATTCTTAAGTGACATCTAAGTTGAGACCTTACAGCAAGACAGGAAAAACCTGGGAGAAGGGACAGAGAGTTGCTAACTGAGCAGCAAGAGAAGCCATGGTGAGGTCAGGGAAGCATAGGGAATGTCTGTAGTGGATGTGGAATGACAGAGATAGCCGAAACAAGGGAGGGAGAGGCACCCGAGATGTGGAAGCAGACTCCGGATCACATAAGGGCCAAGGAACCCAGGCTTTACCCCAAGAGCAATTATGAATCATCCCGAATTTAAAGCATGAGATGACTAGAGATGATCTATATTCTAGAGCGATATCTACAGTAGAATGTAGACATTCTTAAATCTGGTCCATTCCCTTTGCAAGGGAGGCTGTTCTAGGCATTGCAGGTCTGTGTTTCTGTGGGCAGAAGCTAACAGTAAATTAAAATTCTACTGCTGCTGGCTGGAGATGGTATATGTTCTTGTTTCGTTCCCATGCAAGCGGCTGACTTTATTATTTTTTATTATTATCACTTTCAAGACTTCGACAAGCTAAGAGCATGGGAAAACTCATATTTGTGTCGGGAAGAGAAGGAACAAGTAGGAAGAGATCCTAGTGAGGTTGCCCTGCAGAGAGTGTCGGCGAGTGACGTTCCAGAATCGCAATCTGGTACAATACAGCATTTTGTTTTGTCTTTTTAATAGGGAAGGTTCATCAGGTTTCAGACATTATCACATAAAGGAAACAGCAACATCTCCAAAGAAGTATTACCTTGCGGAAAAACATGCGTTTGGGTCAATCCCTGAGATCATTGAGTATCATAAGCACAACGCAGCAGGTGAGTGAGCTATGAGCATTGGCGATCATGTGATCAGACACTGTGATGAATTCTTAGGTGAGTGAGTGGTGAAGACCCACGAGCATTAGTGACTACACTGTCAGGTACGGTGATGAATTCTTCAGAAGATAGGTGTCAAGTATGATTGGTGTAAAAATATTGCATATTAAGATTATTCTAGATCTAAAGAAAAATCAGAAATTGTATCAGTTTTCATAGAAATACTTTTTTTCCATCACAGGAGTGAGTGTCTCTAATGTATGTGGATATTCACACCTCATAGCCTTGGCACTAAATGAAAATTCAGAGATGTGCCTACTTTAAGAGCAACCTAGGAGCCAGGCGGTGGTGGCGCAGCACTTGGGAGGCAGAGGCAGGCAGATCTCTGTGAGTTCAAGCCCAGCCTGGTCTACAAGAGCTAGTTCCAGGACAGGCTCCAAAGCTACCAAGCAACCCTGTCTCGAAAAACAAAACAACAAACAAACAAACAAACAAACAAGAAAGAGCAACCTAGGAGGCTGAGGTTGGAGGATCACTTGAGTCAGAGAGTTCAAGGCCAGTCTGGCTTACATAAGGAAGTTCCTCACCTCAACAAACAAATACGATGTGTGTAGCGTGGTCATAGAAGCCTTCAGATGAGCCAGGGTTTCTGTTCACATGGAAACTTTCCAAGGATCAGAGTGTAGTCCCCTCAACATATAGTGGGATTATGTGTGATAAAGCCTTCAGAAGTTGAAAATACCCTAAGTAGAAAGTCTATTTAGTACAGCTAATCTACTGAACATCCTAAGTGGCATTCCATAGAGTACATCATGGTCACATGTTTAGCTGGGAGTGAAGTTCATTACAGCTACACAGCTGCAAGGCATGCTGTCTTCCAATACTAGTCCAGGAGCAAAGAAAATTCACTGTCCTCAGAAAAAGTCTAGATTCCAAAAGGATGCTTTTCTCAGAACACATGTTGCTTTGGCACCTTGCTAACACTGAGAAACTGTAAACTGAACCACTGAAGGCTGCAGAAGATCCGGGATCATGGCACACAGGTTTGTTTCAACAGCTTGAGTCTGTGTTACACCCAACACCAAACAAACAGCGGAAAATAAGGTGCCCACATTGGGTTTCCAGCAGTTTTTACTTTAAAGGGACAAATAAGTAGGGTGTCCAGTAGCCAGCTGCTGAATTCCACCTGTGTAATTTGACTTGCGAGTTAATCAGAGGCCCTCTTCACAAAGTGTGTTGCTGTTTTGTGAGGTGATTTACTATTCATAAGATGACAGAAAGAATTACTGAGAAGTAAATAATTTACACACCACGGCATCCATACATTTAAAATACAGGGTTCAATGGCTTTTAGAATATTTACAGTGTGCCATCAATCACATCACTGTAATCTAATGTTTTGAACACTGTCATCATCTCCCAGAGAGATCTTGTACCCGTTAGCAGCTACTCATGCCCAGCCCTCTCCAGCCCAGCCCCAAGCAACCACTAATCCACTTTCTGTCTTAGTAGATTCGCCTGTTTTGAAGAGTTCATAGAAATAGACTCATACATTTATACTGTGACAGGTATTTTTGGTTTTGTTTTGGTGCGTTGTAACATTTTTACATGTGTCCATGTTGTTTTGTGTATTCCTTTTTGAAATAATCAAAACAGGCAAAAAAATGATCAAGGCCTGACATATGGGAATTGTCCAGTATGCTGGATGAATTATTATGCAGAACCTTGCATAATATTTGCACAATTGTTAGGTTCCCAGTGCAGTTATAAGTCTGTGTTTAATTCTTAAATTACTTCCAATGTGAGGGTAATATTGCTAAATGGCAAGGTAGACAATCCCTCTAACTCCCAGTCTTGAAAACTATCTTAACACATCTACCTTGACAAAATTTCTGCTTTGTCTGCTTGTGGAAACGAAGACGCAGCCAGGCGTGATGACTAGGGAAAAGGGGGCTAATGGGGATTCTGGACACTGTGAATCCCCAGGGTTCTTTATTTTTCTTTGTGTGTTTTGTTTTCTTCTATGATGCATTGACCGAACATATTCTTAGAGATTGCTTTGTGGGTTCTGCTCAAGTCTGACCTGTCCCAGGAAGGAAATCCCAAGGAAGTTGAAATCCCAAAACAGTCAGTCTGCCAGAGAAGGTGTCTACTCCCTTTTATTGACATATTACAGTCCATTGTGTGGACATTTGGGTTGTTTCCACATCTTGAATTTCATGACTAACAATGACTTGATAGTTGGATTTATGTGTTTGCATGGAAACAGAGTTCTGTTTCTTTGAGGTGCTTGTCAACAAGTGGGTGTTAGGTTGTTCTGTAATTCCATGTCCAATAATTGAGCAATTAAGACAGGCGTGGTGGCATATGCCTTTAATCCCAGCACTTGGCAGGCAGAGGCTGAAAGAATCTCTAAATTGGAGGCAACTGGTCTATAGATTAAGTTCCAGGAAAGCCACGGCTACACAGAGAACCCTGTCTTGAAAAACCAACAAAATAAAACAAAACAGACTAATGAACAAACAAACCAAAAGAACCAACTTGAGGAACTAATTCTTTTTTTTTTTTTTTTTTTTTTTTTGATTTTTCGAGACAGGGTTTCTCCGTAGCTTTTGGTTCCTGTCCTGGAACTAGCTCTTGTAGACCAGGCTGGCCTCGAACTCACAGAGATTCGCCTGCCTCTGCCTCCCGAGTGCTGGGATTAAAGGCGTGTGCCACCAATGCCCGGCTGAGGAACTAATTCTTATCTGTTTTCTCCTTCCAAATTTTTTTTATAACTTTGTTCTGTTATTCTCTTGTTTTTATTATATTTCTTTTTCTACTTTTGTGCTCTTATATGTTTTGTTTTGTTTTTACCACTGCCGTAATTTACTTAACTGGCATGGGTTTAGTGCCTACTTCATGAAAGAAAGCAACCCAGCCTTTGAGGAGAGCATGGCAGACATGCGACAGTCATCAATGAAGATGCACATATGGTTTTAAATTATGATGAGGTGTGCCATGTATGGGAACTGCAGACCTATGTGGGCGTTCCTGGAAGAGGGCCTCCGGTTTCTCCTCTGGGGCTCTAAATGGCAGAAAGGGTGGGTTTCCAGTGGTTGACAGTCCTCACTGCTAGCACTCCAGCTCGTGATTTCCATGCTGCTGTCACAAACACTGAGGTATAGCAGGGGACTAATAAAATAATCTTCCATAGTTCAGCTCTCATATTAGAAAAGATCATGATGTCCCTGATAATAAACGCTGGCAATCTTTTAATATCCTTTGCAGTGTTAGAGGAGAGAGAGAGCTGGCCTGCATTTGAAAGGAAATATGTTGGCATGACTGAACGCATGCTCTGTGGTGCCGTGTGTACGTGAAGACGGGGTTTCAATAACAGGAGAATGAGTTTTTCCTACGTGCGTCTTGTTTAGCGTTGGACTAAGTCGCTTGGGTGAGATAAAGTTCACCTGCAATAGTTTCTTCACGTTTCAGGGCTTGTCACCAGGCTGCGGTACCCAGTTAGTACGAAGGGGAAGAACGCACCAACCACGGCAGGCTTCAGCTATGGTAACTATCATTTTGTAGTTGCGTTGGCAAGTTTCCCTTGGAAAGAATCCATCTTTACAATTATAATTCTGTAGATGTGCAGAATCAAAACCCCACCACTACCATCCGGGGAAGTGGTGGCTATAACCACAATTCTAGAGCGAATGCCCAGGCCCTGGCGGCCCCAACAGCCTGGGCTTGACAACCTGTCTCACAATGTTAGCCAAAGATGAGGGGTGGTGAAAAGCAGAGAGGAGGTTTGACACCGTGTACTGGGAAGAGGAACTGAAGGTGTCTTCTGGATACTCACATTCAAGGCTGTAACAGAGAAAGAACCGGGTCAGGGTAGAGAGCAGTCAAGTGTGGTCTGGTTGATAATTATCTCAAATCTGGTCCCACAACGTAGTCTGAAGAAGTCTTTATTGCTTGAAGCTGGTTCTCAGGAGCTGGCTGGTTGCTCCTGCTCCAGGGTGCAACCTTGCCATCGGGAACAACTGACTGTACCTGGACTGGATAGGCAGTCTGCCCTGAGAGGCCCTGCTATTCCTGGAATAACTGTAGGTTTCAGACAACTCCTGGAGACCTTGAGTGTCTTTTGGGCATCCAGATAGGATGTTGTAAAATCTGTAAGATGCTTCTGTTCCTCTTGCCTTTGCATCCCCATCCATGAAGGGGAGAAAGTACATTTGCAGTCTCCAGGCTTTAGACAGGTGCTCCTCACACATGTGTGTATAAATGAGACAGACACAGACAAAGGCAGAGACACCAGGCTTTATCCCTGCTTGAGTCACCCTGTAGGCCCACGCGAGGAACCTGTGGTTTTAACCAAGGATTCTCTGGGTGCAAGTTATATAATTGTTTGTATTGCCTTGATAGAATGGGCTTTTAGATACTTTATAGTAAAACTAGATTTTTTAATCTTTCCATGGGTAAAAGCTAAGTATGTCACTGCTAAGACCGTTGCTGCCATGGTTCTCCCTGGCCGCTCTGTCTTCTGGTCATTACTACTGTATTGTCCAGGACTGTGGCGTTGGTCTTGCTTAGAACATCTCTTTTCCCCACAGACTTACACTGCTCTTCTTCTTAAAGATCTCCTTCTCTCATCTGTCTTACAGAGAAGTGGGAGATCAACCCATCCGAGCTGACCTTTATGAGAGAGCTGGGGAGTGGACTGTTTGGAGTGGTGCGGCTTGGCAAGTGGCGAGCCCAGTACAAAGTAGCCATCAAAGCTATTCGGGAAGGTGCCATGTGCGAGGAGGATTTTATAGAAGAAGCTAAAGTCATGATGTAACTTTCTTTCTACTATTATCACCACTCTTATTATTATTAATATCATATTATTATTATTATTACTTTTATGTGTATGAGCGTTTTGCCTGCATGTGTGCCTGTGTATTGTATGTATGCAGTGTCTGCAGAGGCCAGAGTGGGCATCAGATCCACCTGGTGTTATAGATGATTATTAGCCATCATGTGGGTGCTGGGACTTGAACTCAGGTCCTCTGGAAGAGTAACCAGTGCTCTTAGCCACCGAACCATCTCTCTAGTCCCCATGGTGTAAGTTTCTAGCTTCTACCAGGTCTCCCCTTTTGTATGAACAATTGGCCCCACCCAGCACATACGCCTGCTGGTTTCTTTTCCTGTGGTAACTCTCTATATGTCTGTCCTCGTTCCCAGGAAGCTAACGCACCCCAAGCTGGTACAGCTCTATGGTGTATGCACCCAGCAGAAACCCATCTACATTGTCACCGAGTTCATGGAACGGGGCTGCCTTCTGAACTTCCTCAGGCAGAGACAAGGCCATTTCAGCAGAGATGTGCTGCTGAGCATGTGCCAGGACGTGTGCGAAGGGATGGAGTACCTGGAGAGAAACAGCTTCATCCACAGAGACCTGGTAACCACGCCCCCTGCCTCCCACTCCCCGCGGAGTCCCACTCACTGGCTGAATTCTTTGTCACACTGCCTTAGCCAGTGAGCTGTGTTGCATTAGTCCCCTGCTTTTGTCCTTAGCAAAATTTCAACCATTTAAAACATGGTAAATTTCAATCGCTTGATAGTTTTCAAGGAAAAGACCTCTATTAAATCCAATAACTTACAGACTAATATCTTCAGGCAAGTTTCTGTGAATTAATTATTTGAGCTCGGGGGAAGATTCCCAGGAGATAGGTAGTCATAGCAGATTTATTCGTGTCATTGTGTTACAGATAAGGATGGTACCTTTGGAGAAGTGAACGTGGCTTGCCCATTGTGAGAAATGGGGAAGTTAGGCTTAGCGCTGACCTTCTGACCAGCTCTCAGGCTCTGTCCCACCACACACACTGTGAACAGAAACTACCGGAGAAATCCCGAGCTCACGTCCTTTATCTGTGAACTGCGAGGGAATTCCGGGACTTTTCATTGTTTCTGAAAATACTAAGAAAACAAAACCCCTGTTCTACGTGACTGTGGTGGACACACTTCTCAGTTCCCTCCTTTCCCCTCCTTTCTTCTCTCCCTCTGTTTTCTTTCCCACCATTTTCAGAATGAAGTAGCGCAGCCCCTCGTCCTTGAGTTCTTCCATCAGAACTGAGAGCGTTTGCATCGCCCCCTCCCCGCTTTAGTTTTAGCTTCCTTGTGATGGAGTCTGGGTCCATTTTTTCAGAGCAAGAGCAAGGTGTTGTGTTTTAACATCACCTCACACAGGCATAGTTTTCGTACCATACAGACACAAACTCGTACGATCATTGTAATGCTATTCCTATTTCCATCTTACAGACAAAGGGAATGAGTGAAACTGGTTAAACTATATTCAGCAGTCAGGGAAATGGTGGAGGCAGGATTTGAACCCAGAGAGTTTGTCTCCAGGATCAGTGCTCTAACGGCTATGTTATCCTCTAGACTTAAAAACAGAATAAAGAATTAAGGATTTGGCAACAGAAGACTTGGTCTCCTAGGTGTGTTAGAGGCTAGTACCATATGCATTCTGTGAATTGGATTTGCAATTTACACATCATTGTTTTGTCATTACACTAATATAACCTATAATTGAGTCAAAGGGTTTTGTAAAGCAGACGTGACATATGTCGTTAGTTTTGATGAGTGTGTGTAGCTGTGACAAAGGCTAATTGTCATATTGAAACTCACGAATGAAGCATCGTCCTTGTTTTTGTTCTTACAAAACGGATACAGCATGAACACCTTCATGACTCTTGCACTTGTCTATGTACAATTTGTTTTCTTGAAAACGAATTTTGATGTCTTTCGGGCCTGTGATACTGATATTAAACTCTGGCAGGTTTTTACCACACTTTAAAGGAAAAGTCTGCTGTGCCTGTCCCCTGGGGAAAGTAATTTCATGGGTTGCGACTGACAGCGCTGTGGCTGTCCTCGTGGGACGGTGCAGATAATTCAGGCAGAGGCTCATAAATGTGCTCAGAAGGAGGAAGCTGGTGTAAGGGGAGCTGCCACACAGAAAAGAATAAGCGGCTCAAGAAGCAGGGAGAAAACTACACCTCATCCCTTGGGTTGTGGCGTTAACCCCCCCCAAAAAAAATATCACACTTGCTTCTGAGGAGTACTGTGCCATTCCACCAAATTAGTTTACTGAATCACAGAACTTTGAATAATAGAGCAAAAACCAAAAAAAAAAAAAAACACTTGTTTGTGTTTTACCAGCTGAGTACATTACATCGTCATACATTAGAAACCTAATACATGATAAAGCAAACCCTGTGTGCACAGGAGCCTTTCTGTTGACTGTCGAGGTGAAGGCTCTCCGATGGCCTGTCACTTTGATGATTGTGTGTTTCTGCTGTCACCTGGAGATAATTCACCGTTAATCTAGATTACAGACTAGGCGTGCTGTCGCTGTTGGTGAGAGAAATCACACAGCCTATTAAGAATATGCCTGGTCAGGGAGGAAGGTTAGCAGGTCCACTGGTCCTCATTAAGGGTGATGTTAATTATGCATTGTGATACCTTGTGGCATCTCTGATCTTTATTTCTCCAGGTTGTTTCAGATTCACGTTGGAGGTACCGTCATTGGGATGTAAACAATTTATCTGGACACATTTATGGCGTTGGTTGTAGTCGGTTCTCTCTCTCTTTTCTGCCACCCAGCTCTGGAATAAATGCATGAGAACTTATTCTTACTCATGTCTGGCCCTAGCTGGCTTGTTTCTCGCCAGCTTTTCTAACTTAACTTGTCCTGTTTCTCTTTAACAATGTTTTGCCCCTGGGCTTTTTACCTTTCTTTATTCTATATATCTTTATTTCCTTCTTACTCTGTAGTTGGCTGTGTGAGTGGGTGGCTGGCCCCTGGCATCCTCCTTTTCTTGCTCTTTTCTCTGTTCCCTAGATTTCCCCTCCTATTTATCTCTCCTGCCTAGCTATTGGCCATTCACCTGTTTGTTAGACCAGTCAGGTGTTTTAGACAGGCAAAGTAACACAGCTTCACAGAGTTAAACAAATGCAACAGAAGAGAATGCAATGCATCTTTCCATCATTTAACAAATAACCCACAGCATAAACAGATGTAACACACCTTAAACTAATATTCCACAACACATTTACAGCTTCTCTGATGTTGACTTTGTTATATTTACTAGAAAACGGACTTCTGTTTCCCCTTTATGGCAGGGCTTTCTAATAAATGTCATGTCATAATGTTGTTTTCCAGGCTGCCAGAAATTGTCTGGTGAATGAAGCTGGAGTTGTGAAAGTCTCTGACTTTGGAATGGCCAGGTATGGTTGAGTGCTGTGTGCTTCAGTGCTGGTCGCATTATTTTGAATAACTGATAAACATGGGAAGGTCTTGGGAGATAGCTTGGTGGGTAAACTGCTTGCACCCTAAACATGAGAACCTGAGTCTGACCAGAACCCAAGAAAAAAAATCCTGGGAGTGGTAGCTCATGCTTGTAATCCCAGAACTGGGAGGATTACAGGGATCTCTGCCTAGCCACACTAGATTAATTGCTGAACTCCAAGCCATTGAGAGAACCTGTCTGAAAGTAGGTGGACCGTGTTCCTGGCCATGCTCCCCAAGGTTGTCCTCTGTTCTCCGTAAGCACCCATACCCCTACAAGCTTCCCCTACTCTAGAACTGCAGCAAAAGCTGGGACTCTGGCTGTAGTGGTCCTTGCTTATAATCCAGTGCTTGGAGGCAGAGGCCGGAGAATCAAGATTGCAAAGTCACTCTGGGCTATATAGCAGATTTGAGGCTAGCCTGGGCTACATGAGTCCATGCTATTAAAAATGAACATGGGAATAACTTGCAGCAATAAAACAAAAGGGAAATCTCTTCAACTGTCCTGAGGTTAATGATACTAACTCTATATTGTGCTGCTAGTCATTCTCTCCACTAGATGGTACTAGAGCCTATTCAATCTCTCTCTCTCTCTCTCTCTCTCTTGCTCGCTCACTCGCTCGCTAATTAGATTCTTAGAATCTTCTGGAATGTGTTTGGTGATCCAGTACTCAGTATAGCCACGTTTGTATTTTTTTAATCTCTTGATTTTTGTAACTTTAATATTGCTACGTAAGAAGCGTTTTGTGTGTCCTCTGTTCATTGAGTCATGGATATATAAGGGCAGGTGCATACCGTGCGAGAAGTCTAACCCTGTGGACTGCAGTGGAGACTAGGCTGGAGGGCCTGCCCACATGCAGCTTAAAGGCCAGAGGAAGGAGATACACAGACCTGGAGTGCATGACTGTAACAGAGCCAGGGGTTGGCCAGCAAATGGTGGCCTGTCCGTCCAGTCTGTGTCTTTCTGTCTATCCTGTGAGTCAATGGTGGGCTTTTCTTTAAAAAAAAAAAATAGTGAAAAGGAAGCTGAAAGTATATCAGGACACCTGAAAATTATCTGATGTTTGAGTCATTGTCCACTAAAACAAGTAGCGTTATCAAGACACACTGACTTGACCAATTGTTGATGGCCGTCTCTGGCCACTTTTATATTGCAGAAGCAAAACCTTAAGCTGTCACAGTGACTGTGAGTCCTGTAGAATCTGAAATCCTCTCTGTATCATCTGATCTTTCTCAGCAAAAGCCTGCTATCTTCTCTGAAATTGATAACTTGGGATTGGGGAGTGGCCATAGCCACTGGCGATCTGGTGACCGACCAGAAAGACTTTTCTCCCATGGGGACATTGAGCGGACACCACAGGAAATGGACACAAAATAGAAGAAGCGAGACCGGTAGCGCCTGAAGTCTGGGACTACTCTCACCTGCCTAGGGAGCCAGAAGAGGGCCCAGGCAGTGGTCCAGAGGCAGATCTGAGAACAGTTACGAAGGCAGCGAACCCTTGGGTCCTCTGCTCCCAAGACCTGCTCCCAAGAAAATGTGGCCTAGGGAGGCCAGAACGCTGTCCCTGGCAGCTTCTGAGTCTCGAAGGCCTATCACCCAGTCCTCTCTACCTGCCGTATGTAAAGACAATTAGCTCCTGACAGACGGCCCTCCGCTTTCTTATAGCCACTCTTCCTATATTTGACTTTCAGAAAGTTGGTACTTTTATAACAGTCCTTGTAAAATTACTCTTTATGCACTAAATTCACACTCACCCGACTGACATGTATTTGATCCAGCCCAAGGTGATGTTGTCTGCCTGATACCATCTTTATCTGTACCACCCAAAAGAGGAAGTTTGTGTACTCCATTGAACCTTCTCACACGGCAGCTTTAGAACTGACTTTATATAAATATATAATGTGCTCCCAATCCCTCTGATAAATCTGTGCTGAGGTCCTCACAGTCATCCACTATCAAGGATTGTCCCAGGGAGTGGTCAGTGTTACAGTTTCCGTGTTTCCTTCTAGATGGACCTATGTATGTTCCCACAGAAAAGGAATAAGACATTGAGGATGTGTGTGGATGGATGGTGCTATGGTTTATAAATAGATTTACCATCTTTTTATTCTTTTTGCCTCTGCTGTTTTTTGCTCGCTTGTTTTCACATGCTGTAGTTTTAGATCGCACTCTGGAGCTGCGGGGCTCAGGGCGGGGGAAGGGAGGGGGGTCTCTAGTCTCTCATTACCACTTCCTTTTAGCAACTCTGTTTTAGATCTTTTGCTCACAGGGCCTCTGGGTGAAAGTTTGTTCAGAGAACAAGATCACAGACCCAAAAGTTTGCAACAGTTGTCTGATATCCTGCCTCTGTTGCCTCATAAAAAAAGAAAGATGAAGAGCAGAACAACAAAGGAGTGCACACTAGGGTTGTGAGGTTCTCCTCTCGGGTCCTTGCGTAGGCTCAGGAGGTAGACACCGCGGGGCACAGCCACGAGCTGAGTGTTTGGCTTCAGCCAGGCGCGCGGTAGACTTCAGTTGCCGGCTTGTTTTGTTGTGTCTGACATGCAGAGGTGTAACCCACAGTGTGTCCCACCCTAGGTATGTTCTGGACGACCAGTACACAAGTTCCTCCGGTGCCAAGTTCCCTGTCAAGTGGTGTCCCCCGGAAGTGTTTAATTACAGCCGATTTAGCAGCAAGTCAGACGTCTGGTCGTTTGGTAAGGTCCATAATGTGTTCTTCCTCTCCTCCCCTCTGAGGAGGAAGCAGACACATCATTGAGTAACCTTATCATTCTGTAGGTGTCCTAATGTGGGAAGTATTCACAGAAGGCAGGATGCCCTTCGAGAAGAACACCAATTACGAAGTGGTAACCATGGTTACTCGAGGCCACCGACTCCACCGGCCAAAGTTGGCATCCAAATATTTGTATGAGGTGATGCTGAGGTGTTGGCAGGAGGTATCTACTTCTTTGTGTTGTCTTGTGATCTGTAAAGCATCCAGCAGTTGGTCCAGTGGTGGGGGAAGGTCCAGTCCTCACAGCCTAGTGAGGCCACGCCTCCTGCACAGGGAGTTCAGACTCCAACAGGAAGTCAAATCTTTGTCTCCATTCTAAGTATTGAAAAGAATCTGAAGAAATGGAGAAGGCTAAAAGTTAGCTTAGTATACTCAGGCTGATGCCTCACTCCCAGATGGGAGCCCCTCCACAGACAGGGGCTTGGGAAAGCCTGGAGAAGTCGCTCTCCCGTGCAACAGCCGTGGATTTGAAGAGAAGGGTTCTTCTTTGATCTCAGTGTCTCCAGTTATCTTACCCAATCTCTGGAAGCATTGAAATGTCACCTCCATAAAGAGATTAAACACCAGAGAGACCCTTGGCAGACAGGCGTTCACATATATTGTGTATGGAGTTTTTCAGAGTAACCCTTTGAGAGATAGACACGTGGACTGTGACCATTTGATAGGGGACCGTGATTCTTGTCCAGGACCAGTTGCCCACAGAGCATCAGAACTCCATGGGGCACCAGAGCTGAGGCTCCCTGTCACTTGTTGTGATGCCTCCCACATGCACTGTTTGGGGTGGGCAGAGGCTGGTTGGGCAGGAAGCGGTACCAGAGAGAGCAACAGGAACAAAGGCGAGGATTTGGCTGTAAACATGGTGTGTGTACCCGAGGGTGGAGCTTAGTCTGATTTAACAAAGAGCCAGAATGAGGCTCTCTGTGGGAAATGAGGTTAGGTGGCAAGGTGATGGCGGAGGGGCAGGTCGCAGAGGGCTTTCCAGATGAGTAAGACTTGATTTCTTAGGCACTGTGGAGCCTTAGTAGGTCCCTGAGCAGGTACAATGACAGCAGGGATCTAGCAGCCATGGGGATAGTTGGGGCATAGAAGGGCCAGCCTGTATTTCCCCAATCCCTGAGTCTTGCCTATGTGGTGTTCCATGGGATTTGAGCAGGGAGAGTTTTCTTGGGAATGGATTCTGAGGCTCACAGCTTCTCCTGGACTTTTTGTAGAAGCCAGAGGGAAGGCCTTCGTTTGAAGATTTGCTACGTACGATAGATGAACTAGTTGAATGTGAAGAAACTTTTGGAAGATAAACGGTGGCTTCGATTTCCAAGGCAAGAGGAAGAAATAGCATGCGGTGGGAACGTAATTCAGTTGGCACCTGGGAGCATTGACGGTTCTGCTTACAATGTGGGGACTCCAAAGCCTTTGCTTCTGGTCCAGCCCGAGCTCTGTGGCTGCTTTGTAGGCTGCGGAGATGGTGTCTTAGAGCTGGTGACTTGAAGATCTCACTTCATTACTCCAAGAGCTTGAGTGCCAACCATGCACCAGGCACTGAGCCCTGGCCTTAGGGTTTGCCATGCCAACAGTGAACCAGGCACTGAGCCCCGGGCTCAGGGTTTGCCCATCTTAGAGATGAACATAGGGCTGTGTTAGCTGGTGCTAGTAGAAAGCCAAGGTGTTCCAGAGGGGAAAGCCACGTCCCAGCAACTCTTCCATGCCCTTTGGCTTCTACATAAACCTGGGCCAAACAGGAACCCACCTGAATAAGTAGCAATCCTCTGTTTTGAAAACATCTCTTTCTGAACCTGTTCTTATTATTACGTTTAAAAATCTGTATACTGTACATATTGTAAATACGCATAATATATAAAGTTATATATTTATAAGAAACATGAGTTTGCCTCTTTAATTGAAATTTTTGTTGTTGATTTGTAGGACAGGGTCTCACTATGTAGACTAGGCGATCATAAAACTTACAGAGATCGGCCTATAATTGAAGTTCTTAGGATTTGAGAATGTCTAGTCCTAATTCTAACAACTGTCAATTCTGTCTCCCCGAGGGTTCGAATATTGCTTTCTGAAGAGAAGAAAGCGCCTGGGTCCTTCGGTTGTTAGATGCTTGATTCACAGGTAGACTCACATACAAGTACACATGTCGGCCCCGCTTGAACCACAGCCTTTGATGAGCTATTTGACCCTGATGGTGGTGGCCAGAGCAGGTTAGAGTTAGGTGGAACTTTTAATAACAGAATTAGTTACCTCGAAAGTCTTAAGAATGTTCCTAGGGCATTGTGAATGCTCTGATTGAGGTGCTGGGCTCTGGACCAGAGGTGTTATAACAAAGTGGTACCCATCACTCCCCAGAGTGGCTCGCCTGTGGTGATCCAGCATGCTGCCAAGGGAACTAGGGAGATGTTCTGAGCTGTCGTAGGGTTTTCAAGAAGCCTGGTTGGACTTGGGTCCCTGGATTAGTGAGACTGTCATCCCAGCCTTGCATTGCACCCCACTGTCCAGCTTTTGTGAGTGGGTTTCTCACTCACAGTTTCCTTTTTCCCCCATGAGCTTCAGGGAAAATAAACCAACCAAGCTGCCATCATTAGGACCCATTTACTACTGAGCACACTGTTCTGGGGATTTGTGAGTGCCCAAAGCTGAGGAAGGTAAGGGCTGTTCCTTCACTAGTCAATGTCCCCTGGGAGCTACTGTGACGTCTCCCAGGGTAGAGCATTTGGTGAACACACAGGCAGGAACTGGTTTCCCCGAGAACCCTCTTCCCTCTGACTTCAGAGGGGCACCTCTCTGTTCAGGGTTCTTTCTTGTGCCGTTAATAATGAAGGAAAGCAAAATATTCTTGTCATAATCTGCCGCGTTCCTTCTACCTCTCCACATCAGAACGCCATATACACCTTTTAACTGGTTTGTACCTCCTTCAAGGAGCTGGTCATGTGGGGTCCACCTTTCTACTGCTGCCCACCACACACACACGCACATGAACACGCACACACACACACGCATGAACATGCACGCACATGAACACGCACACGCGTGCACGCACACACACATGAACACTCACGCACACACATGAACACGCGCACACACATGAACACACACATGAACATGCACACACATGAACACGCACACACATGAACACACACATGAACACACACATGAACACACACATGAACACGCACGCGCGCACACGCATACACACATGCTGCCATGTTCTCCCTTCACCTGGATGAGCTGTGAGGGGAAATCGCTGGAGCAGAGGAGAGTGTAAAGAAGGTGGAGCTCCCGTGTGAACAGTCTCAAATGCTTTTTCTGCTTTTTACCATGTGTATGTCTCGGGGTGGGGCCCATGTGTGCGTGTGTGCGCACACACTGTGTGTGTGTGTGCGAGCACAGAGGGGAGAGGCCGATGTGACATGTCTTCTTTGATTGTTTTTTCCCTTATGTAGTCAGACAGAACCTCTCAGCTGAACTCGGAGCTGGCTCACTTGGCTGGTCTTTCCCAGTTGCCTTTAGAATCTCTTGTCTCCACTTCTCACTTGGTTTGCTGGGGGGACACCACATCCACTTGTCAATTATGTGAGTTTTCTGGCTCTGAACTCAGGTCCTTATGCTTCTATGTCAACTTTATCCGCTGAGCCATTTTCCTAGCCCATACAAAACTAACACTGACAACATTTCTCTCTCTCTCTCTCTCTCTCTCTCTCTCTTCAGTCAGGGTCTCTCTATGTATCCCTGGTTGTCCTGGAACTTTCTATGTAGACAGGCTGGCCTTGAACTCACAGAGATTCGCCTACCTCTTGCCTCCCAAGTGCTGGTATTAAAAGCATGTACCACACCAAATCTCACCTAATCCAAAATCAGGTTCCTGGCGTCAATCCGGGCTCAGAGGAAGCAAACGTTCTAGACTGAATAGTCGTAATCCTAGAATTCAGTTTTCCCTGGACCACTGTGAACCCTTGGGCAAATAAAACTCCTTCTTTTCTGTTCCTTTATTCCAGTCTCTGCCAAGGGAGGACAGTTTGACTTGATCAATTTTAAGGTCCCCTTTACCAACATTCTGTGATTTCTTCAAAATGTTTTCTAGACACACCCACACATGTAGGCATGAGGAAGTGCTAACAAACACCTCAGATGTGGATCAGCGTTCTGAGCAATCTTCTGTAGGGTTGTCATTCACACACTCCTCTGAGGTTTCAGAACAGGAAAATAGGTGGGGTCAACTTGGTCTGTGAGAAACGTCACAGGCCAACTCTGCTTGCAGTTGAAAGATGTGTTACTGTCAGTGGGCCACGGCCGAAGAAGCAAGGCTTCTGGGTATGCCCAAGCGGCAGGGCAGCCATGATTCTGTCCTCCTGTAAGTAAGATGGGCTTTGCTGTTTAATGCCAGCCTGTTTAAGGGCGTGTTACTGATTATTGAGTGGTCGGGGAGGTTTTGCTAAACGTGGAATTTGTAGACTCTTGAAGATAATTTCTTCAGATGTAGAGACAGAAGTTTGTGGCTTATTTAAATAGTCACTGTCTCCTGATAAAATTAAGCATTTGAGAATTGGAAACACAGATGAAAATAGAAAGAAACAGTGTATTCCATGTGTGGAAATGAGGCCGATGGGATGCGATGCGTTTCTCTCTAGAATGATAAAGAGCTCGGCGTTGAAGGCCAGGAGACCAAACGCTTGCCCTGGTTCTGCCTCAGCTTTGACAGGTCGTCACTGGTTGTATGAACAAGTCTGCAGCATTGAGGGCCCCCTTTCTGCCTCCTTCCCTGGATATCGGGAAGAAATGATAGGTTAAAAATGACAGATGATTTGTCCAGTTAGAGAGCTGCGCTTAAAGCTCCAGGGCAATTCTTAGAAACACTCACTAATTTAACTTTAAGACCCAGAGAGGTGTCTTAAGTATATAGTTTTGTTTTGTTTTTAGTGGAAGGAAAAGGCCTAGAGGGATGGCTCAGCTGTTGAAGGCTAGGCTCACAACCAAAAATATAAGATGGAAGGAAAAGACTGTCTTTGATTTTTAATTCTGGATGGCCTTTGGAATCAAGTATCAGCAGAGCTCAGTCGTTTCAGATTAGGCCAGAATTCTGATGTTTAGCTGGCGCCAGGAAAAATAGATTGTGAGTTTGCCATGTCTCTTCAAGCCACAGCACCTTGTTAGGACCCCCCACCACATACACACACACACACACACACACACACACACACACACACACAGAAAGAGAGACAGAGAGAGAGAGAGAGAGAGAGAGAGAGAGAGAGAGAGAGAGAGGCTGGATTTACAGAAACAAGCCCATGCTATACCAGTTGCCCCTTTCTGACCATGATTTACGGTCTTTATTCTCTAGACTAAAACAGACAACAACACAGTAAAACAAAAGGCTTCCTGTTGTCAGAAACGGGCCAAGCAGATCAAAGCAGAAAAAGCTACACAGAATTGCCCTACCCCCCACCTCTCCAAAGACTGAGCAGTGATGCTGTATGGGAGGCTAAAAACCCTCATGGCTTTTCCTGAGAAGGCCATGCATTGTAACAGGAAAGGCTTGGCTATGGGTAAAGGAGCCTGGGGGGCTGAGACAGGTCTAGGATGTCTAGGGTTGAAGCGGGAGACTAGCCATCTCTGGGGTCATTGATGATCCTTCCCCAATGGACTAGAAAGATGATTTTAATGTCATTTCCCTGTATCATCTAGTGTCTGCTAGTCTGATTGGATGGCAAGAATCACCTGTTTCCTTTGGCCATCGGCCACAGCTAAACAGCGCTCGGTTGTCTTCTGGGTGAAATAACCAGTGTTTACCATCGACAAGAAAATGCCAAGCATGCTCCAGGGTGTATTGAACTTAAGAATGTTTATTTGTATTTGCCAATTGTTTATCAAACACATTGACTTGCTCTAAGGGCTGTCAAGGCAACCCGGAGTCACAGGCTGCTGGAAGAGGACGTAGTTGTGTGGGTAGGGTGGGATTTTGATCAGATGGCCTGATCGCCAGTTCTGAACAGGGGCCAAGGACCCTGCTGCAGTGAGGTTGCATTCGCGAAGGGTGGTTGGAATTGCCAGTGTGTTCAGCAGTTAAATTACCATGAGAACAGGCTCAGCTCAGACATTTATTTAGATGCACAAGATCCTCATGCAATGGCTGAGGATTAGAAAAACTTACCTCTTCTGGAACATTTTTCACCATATGTTTTTCTGTCTTTTGATTGTTCCCAAGTTGTAATGTAGAAAGAGCAATGGTGCACAGAACAATCTCTCACACCAACCCTGCAAAGTTAGTGATCCATTGTTATTGCTATTAATATGAAGATAAGCAGGCTCCCTGGGGTAAGCATTGTCTAAGCTGGCCTCTGGTCCAGGAAGCTATGCCCATAAGCAATCAATCCTTCTTAGGAAGCCAACTTAGCTTTTCTCTCAAATAGAATATGTGAATACAATGTGACGTCACCTCTGAGAGTTGGTGCCAAGAGATGCAGCCTGTCTTGGCTGTCTCCAGCCTTTCTGCTTCTTGGAGCATTGGCTGCCCTGGAAACCCAGACTCCATGAACCAAGTGCCTGCCAATGGCTGTGAAGTGAACTTGGAAGTGATTTTCTAGCTTCAGGCCAGCCTGCTTTGACTGCAGCTTCAGAGAGAGACCTTGAGCCACAGGGACCCTGCTGAGCTGGCAGAGAGCAGCTAGTTCACAGAAACACAGAGGTCATAAAAGTTGTTCTCAGAACTAGAGAATGTCTGTAGTAGCAAGTGCACAGAGAGCCACAGACCAAAACCTGATGGGTCTGCTTCTTCTACTGCCTTTGCCTCTGCTGCAGTTGGTGCTCTTTCTCACCCACAGCCTCGGGGTTAAAACAGACACAAATACAGGATGCGTGTGTCCTATTGTCTT